AAAAAAAAANAAAAAAAAAAAAAAATAGGAAGTTTTTTAATAGTTTCAACGCTAAAATGCTATTAAAATATTATTAAACATTACATTATAAATATTATTATTAAATACTAAAATACGTATGCTAAATGCACTCGTACATTAATGAAATGAAAAATCTATATTCCGAATACAAGTATATATTGTAAAAAATTTTTTGTAAAAAATTTTTATTCTTTAATAAAAAAAATTTTGCATTCCATTCACTGTATGAAATATATTATTAAACGGAGAACGTAATATATATATATATTTTTTTTATAAGAGAGAAGATTAAAACAATTTTGAAAATATACTTTTGAAAATGAAAATAAATTGCGTTAAAAATATTAATTAAAATCTCATATCTTGTCTGTTTCATTCAAGCTTTAGAAGAATATATATATATTAGGAAAAGAAATGATTTAGAAGGGAAAAGATTTAGAGATAGATTAAAAATTCGAGAATTAGCGCCATCTTTAGAATGTCTCAAATAAAACATATATAAAAAGTCAAATAATGAGATACAATGAGAAAAACATAGAAATAGAATAGAAATTGATCATCAATACTTTTGAAAAAATATTTTTGGTACTAATTCTCAATTTTAATTTATTGTATTTTTTGGATCAAGTATTTTTAACAAATATAATGGCATTGAAGATGGCATTCTACTATTTATTATCCTTTCCATATATTGATTTTAATATTTTTATTCTATCTCTGTTCTTTTCCTATCATTTTTCCTTTTTCTCTATACTTGATCTGGAAATTTATGAGATTCAAGATCTGATATTCTTTTGATTAACTTTTCTTGTGTAATAAAAATTTATAATATGAAAATAAAATAAAATAATATATATTATAAAATATATCAAAACATAAAATATATATATATATATATATATATGCAACGATTATGCGTAATATATGTATAATATACGATAACGATTATCGAATATTTCGATAGTTCGAATATCGATGTCATTGAAAAAAAAGAGATAAAATGTATATAGATATAAAAAAAAGGTTGGAATATGTTAGAAAAAATATATAAATTTATATATTTAGAATAAAATATATATCCAAAATCTATATACACACGCACGCACACGCACGCACGCACGCACGCACATTCTTACATTACTTACGTGTTTCGATATTTTCTCATTTTTTAATTCATCGAGTATAGGACAACAACATCGTATTTTATTTGTTAACTTTCACATTGCTCGATAGTGTCGAAACAATGAGAGCATGAAACACGAGCGGATGGATTAGTTTGAATTGAAACTTGATCGATGATACATTACCTTTTACTTTACCTCTTTATAATCATTTGCGATAAATTTTAATATGTTTAAACTTTTTCATTTATATTTTCATATAATTATTCTTGTTATTACAAGTGTTGCGAGAAAGGAGTATAAACTTCCTTCAGGTAATCTGTTTTATCCTTTTTTTTTTCAATTTTAATATTTATATACATTTATATATAATCATAATAAGGGGGATAAAAAAGCAAAAGAAATTTGAAAAAAATTTGAAAATCCTTCTAGATATAATGCCTAATATTATAATAATAAATTCTAAGGGAAAATTTTCATTTTATTATTTTATTTTATTTTTCATATTTTTTAATATTATTTTCCTTTCTTGATTTCGAATTTAAAAAAACAACTATTCCAGTTAGTAGTATTATAATAATAAAATGATTTTTATAACAATAAAAAAAGAAAATTTTAATCAACGAATGAATTTATTAATTATGATATTAAAAGCGAGAAAAAATAAAGTAGAAAGTAAAGCAATTTAGTTTCAATTAATTTTTTATAGTTCAAATTAGATAACAAATTAGATAATTATTATAATCACTATCCAAAACATAAAAATTTGCATAATATAAATTTACAGATGTGGTCGAAAAATTATGGAGAAAGTCAATCGATGAAAATTACGGAGGAATTGCAGTGAAGAAGCAATTATTCCAGTTAGTATTATATTATTAAAATGTTCAATATCTCGGTAACAATTCATCGTAGAATTCGTAAGAAGAAAAAAAGGCGATTAATTAATTAGTGTTTTTTACAAAAAAAGAATTTTTTTTTAAGGGGATTGTTCGATTTCACGATAACGCGTGAAAATTAGATATTTTTTTTTTTTAAACTTGGCTTTTTCAAAGAAATAAAAATTAGAGATCAAAATTATAAAAATATATATAGAAAAATATATATAGATAATTTTTTTTTAAGTCGAAATCTCAAAAATCATTTATAGATATTTTCTTTGTACTTTTATGTTGCATAATACAAAAGAAAAAAAAAAAATAGGATAGATTTTTGATCAATTAAAATCAATTCAAATCGAAAACAATCAATGTTATTCAATTATACAATTTTGCGCGACAAGTTCGAATTGTTAAATTTATTTTTAGAGATATTTTTATGGAAGATCAAAAAGATGATAAATTACAATTTGGCTACGTTTGCGAAAATCCAGTTCAATGGGAACAAAGATTCGAAGAAAAAGATCTTTCGAATAATCGTCATCGTGGAAAGGTGAGATGATAAAAAATATTAAATTTGAACAACTAGAATAGATATTTATAGATCTGATATATGTAAGATTTTTTAAAATAAATAAATTTAATAAAGTTCATAAATTATTATGAATTTAATAAAATACATAAATTATTATTCTTTTATTAAGATAATTTGATTCTAATAGCTACTAATTGTCATTATTCATATTCATTATGACAATGTTTTTCTTTTTTTTTTTTTTTTTAACAAAAAAGAAATTAAATTTGTATATAGGTTAAATGGGGAGATATGGATGGTAACTATGGCGAACATTATTGGGATATAAATCATAAATAAGTGTTGAATAGTTATAATTGAAATGGAAAATAAAAAATTATTATAAAAAGAAATATTATCATGTTATGCAAATAATCAACAATGTATAATGGGACGTCAATATATGAAATCGGATGCACACTTGACCATTTATTTGATATAATGTTGATCAAGATACGATGATGTAAAATAAATGTAAAATTTACGAAATCGATCATCGATTTGGAGAGAGGATTTGAGAAAAAATATTTGGTATGTTCACATGTAGGACAACCTTTATTATTCAATACAGTACTAATTATAACATAATACTACGCATTATTACAATATTAATATTATTACATTGGTTGTAATCCGAGTTTTTAATGGTGTTTTTTGCGGCGTGAGTGCGTGCGTGCCATTGCGTGCATGCGTGTACGCGCGCGCACTTGTGATAGTTCGTATACAAATAAATAAATAAATACATATCTGTGTATGTATGTATATGTATATATATATATATATATATTTATTTATTTATTTATAATATCCTACACGTAGTGCATTACATGTACACGTATATATGTGTATATATGTATACATATATGATATTTATTATATTATACCTTTATATTATTACGCGGTACGTGAATTTATCTTATCTCTTATATCTTATAAACTTAATTCGAATAGATATAGTGTATATAGATATATATATAGATATAGATATATATATATATATTTATATATCATCAGGATGGTATAAATAATATTGTATTTCATAAAAGCACTTTTTGTTGCTTATAATATTATCGTTTTCTTTCTTTAAATTATCGCATCGCTATCATCCACAAACATATGTATTTCCCCTTAACGCTTTTCTTTCGCTCTATCCTTTCTGTTATATCGTCGCGACATCCACGAAGGAGTATATATACTTATTTATTTACATTTCTTAAAAAAGTGTTTATGTCTTTTTATTTTTTTTTTTTATTCTTTTTTTTATTTTTTATTTTTTTTATTTATTTTTTTTTTTTTTTTTTATTTTTTTTCACTTTCTTACTAACTTCGGAAGGAAAACTTAAGACACATTACCAACTACTTACAGATATATCGAGAATTTGAAACGTTAAACATTGTTTCGCGTTGTGTATGATCGCTTTTCGATCGATCGATCGATCGATCGCTAGATCCATCTCCTCTTCCCCCACCCATCCCATCCAATCACGATGATTGAAATTCCTTTCGTGCTTCGCTAGTTTTAGCCATTGATTTCTTTTCGTTCTTCTTTCGTTCGTTCGTTCATTCGTTCGTTCGTTTTTTTTTTTTTTCATTCTTTCGTTCGTTCGTTCGTTCGTTCGTTCGTTCGTTCGTTCGTTCGCTCGCTCGCTCCCTCACACGCACGCATATAATAGCAAGTACTTATATATATTACAGTTATAGACGTGCTCGAGTGCGCGAGAGTTGAGCGCTATGCAAGTGTGGTACTTTGGAAGACTATCATGTAACTCACAATATTCTTCTAATCCATGACCATTTCTTTCTATTGCATTTTATTTATATCGATGTTGTATCGATCACATGTCAAATTTATCTATTACGTCCTCACCCCCCTCCCCCTCAAAAAGAAAAAAACAAGAGAGATAGATGCACAAGATAGATGAAGAAGAGGATAAAAGGGAATGTAACGAATTGCATACGATTGATCGCAGAATATGATCATGCAATAGAAAAAGTGATCAAATAAAGTTTAGAAGAAAATTGTTTGCTTTACGTATGACATCCTTCCAGGACACTACACCGGCATAGAAATTGAGTACAGAGTGTCCTACAAGGTATGGCATATGCGGCAAAAATAAAACGTAGATGTCGATAAAACGAGGAAAACGAAACGAGAAATATCTCTAATCCTAATAGTTGAATATTTGCTTGTTCCAATCATTGTTTTTTTTCATTTTTAAATTCCTATTTTTATTTTTTTCCGTTCGAATAACTCGACAGAGTTATATACAATTCACAGTTTCTCCCTCCCTCCCCCGCCTCCCTCTTTTTCTTTTTCTTCCATTGTTTAATTGTTCTTATCGTTCTTAAAAAATATCCGATATTTATCCGATATTAATATTGTACAAACTTTAAACCAGAATGTCCAGTCACATCGAATATCCGTTATGCAAGTTTATACAAGACTTATGCTCGTATTTTATATCCTTCCTAGGTAGATATCAAACATTTTAATTCTCAGATATATCATACCTTATGAAACACATTTATGCTTTCAATTCTATCCACTTCGATAAATATCCTCGTACGTACATATATGTACCCTTGCGATTGTTTTCTTCGTTCTCTTTTCCTTTCTTTTTTTTATTTTATTTATTTATTTATTTATTTATTTATTTTTGTATTCTTTTTGTTTGGCTGGTCCACTAACATTCCTAGAAAAAATACTCTCTGCAGTCCTCTATGTTATAAACTAAGATTTTTTTTTGTTCCTCTATTTTCCGTTTGATTTCCCATCATCCGTCTAACTTTTCGTTCGTCAAATTACTTTTTTTTTTTACTCTCTCCACTTTTACTCCCTCTCTCGTTCGATATTTTCTTTTTCGTTTACAAACACGTTCACTTTTTTTCGCGTCTCCGTTCTATAGAAAACCTTATAAGATCGCACGATTAGCAACATTTTCGAACGAACAACATAATTGCGAATTTGATCGCCATGTTCCGGAGGATCGGTCACATATCTTAACGCATTATCTCCCGTTACAAGCATATGCGTAGGATATCGTACGCATATCGATCAGTCACGATTTAATCGTAATCGAGATAGTACACGGTAAAGATAATTAATCAAATCTCGTACTATCGTGTGGTCATTCGTGATTTGTTTCTCGAGAAAGCGAAGGAAGAAAAGCTTACGATTGATGTTTGGTTTCGTTATACCGATAATACCGATAAGATTAAAAATTATCTAGTATCACAAATATCATTATAGATCGCGAAAATGCCCGTGGATAAACGAATCGAGTCGATTGGAAGGAAAAAATTTGATTCATCGAATTAACGATGCCATTTACGTACATTTGTGCGCATATATCCGTGATCGGATGAAAACATAATTAAAAACGTAATTTCGCGACATATCCGTTCTTTTTTTTTTTTATTTATTTTATTATTTTTTTTTTTTTTTTCTTAATTAATTATACTTAAATTTTTACAAATCGATAGATAGACTGTCGATCTAAATCTATTTCGACGCATCGAGGAGTTTCGATATTCGACCACGGATATTTTATAAACTGCTTAGTTTAAGGCGTTTATATCGCGAGAAGAAAAGAATTTTTTTATAACCTTAAAATCAGACTCGTAGCTTATCGTTTCCAATGAAAACGACATATGTGTACATATTTCATCCCGACTTTCCCCATCTCGAATACTTGTGTTGAATAAATGCAAATTTTATTCGATACAAAACATATGTTTAGGCTTTAAGCATTATTCCATATAATGGCTCACGGTTAAAATTTACTTTATTATTTATCACGACAAAATATCGTATAAATAATTTGCGAATATTAAAGCAAGATATAATAAATATTCTATTAAATTATATATAAGCAATAATAATTAAAATGTATTCGCTCAATAATACATTTAAATGAAGATTTTAATTATCTCGCCTCATATGTATCTTGGATGGATGATTAACGCTTTGATCGTGAATTACTGTAAAACAAAATATTCTTCACGGTTAATCTTTTCGTTAAAAATAACCGAGAAGAGTTAAACGAAAGCAATGAATATTCGTCTGAAACGAATTATCAAAATATCTTCCTTTCCACTAGATTTACATATGTCACTATTGAATATAAGAAATATTCCCAGAAATTGGGAAATAGTTAAAAAAAAAAAAAAAAGAAAAAAAGAAAAAAAAGAAATCTGATTTTATGATTTGTTCATTAGCGAAATATTCAGGGAATGTAACGATTTAAAGTTGTAACGAATCGTAATAAATCATGTGTAAGATGATGTATTATCTTGTCATGAAATCAAAAAAAGAAAATAATCAATATGACGTATCGTATAATATTATACATAAAAACATACGAATATATTTATATGATTTGTGATAAAAGCTCAAAGTAATACGCTATTTTCCCCTTTAGTCTTTTCTTCTTAAGTATGTTTATTTTGTTATTTTCTCTTTAACATGGAACAAATTTGGAACTTTGTTTGATTTCCCAACAGTTTTGATCTCTGTATTGTATAACCTCTTTTTTTTTTTTTTTCTTAATTAATTATACTTAAATTTTTACAAATCGATAGATAGACTGTCGATCTAAATCTATTTCGACGCATCGAGGAGTTTCGATATTCGACCACGGATATTTTATAAACTGCTTAGTTTAAGGCGTTTATATCGCGAGAAGAAAAGAATTTTTTTATAACCTTAAAATCAGACTCGTAGCTTATCGTTTCCAATGAAAACGACATATGTGTACATATTTCATCCCGACTTTCCCCATCTCGAATACTTGTGTTGAATAAATGCAAATTTTATTCGATACAAAACATATGTTTAGGCTTTAAGCATTATTCCATATAATGGCTCACGGTTAAAATTACTTTATTATTTATCACGA